GGGCCAGGGAGGCTTCTACATTAAATACAGAGTTGATGCTGTTGCCACTCACTGAGAGAATCAGTATGAGAGGAGGCAGGGTCAGCCTCACAGACATACCACCAATGCAGGGGCCCATAGCCCGTGCTTGGGGTTGAATGCCCTGTGGGCACCATGTTGAGTTTCTAATTAATTTTATCTTTGAATTTGTTTTTGTAAGTGAAGACTGACGGGACAATGGAGACTCAGCTCACACGTTCCCATCTTCTGCCACCTCCATACCTCTGTAGGAAGAGTTTTTGGCCAGCCAGTTCCCTGCCACCTGATGCCATGGCGCCCGCCTCAGATTTCCCCTCTGCCCATCGACTATTGTCCCAATGGGACCCCGATCATGCACGGTGAGGTCCTGGTTGGCATCTTGGAGTTGGGCATGATGTCGCACCATGGCACCTTTGGTGATTTGTTGGGGGAAATCTCTCACCCTCTGCAGATCCAGATACCTAGTGCATCCGGGCAATACCCTGGTGGGGGAGTCTTCCATCTCCTTTGGGTTAGGGTTGTGGTCTTTGGGGGTCAATGTCTGCTGTGGGCTGGGGTGGTGGACCATGATAAGGGGAAATGTCTGGCTTGACTTTTCCACCCACTCTAGGGCACGGTGCATGGGTCTCGAGGCTGGTGGAGGAGAGGCCTGGCATCTGATGGGCTGTGGTCACATTGACTTGTGGGCAGGTCCCCTGGTACCTGCAAGAGTCTGCTAGTATCCAATGCCAAGGGAGTGCAATATTAAATAGCAAATTAAAAACACCATGATAGGTTGAGAGAGACTGGGGTAGAGGAAAAATAAGCTTTATGTCTTAACACCTTTAATAGCACTTTTTTTTCCTGATGTTTGAGCAAAGGCAGTTTGATTTTGTACTGGGTCCTTCAAATTATGTATCAGGTCCTAATAGGAGGAGCAGGTTTTGTCTGGTTAGGGAGGAAATCTAGTTTGGAAATCACTGAGTTTGAGGAGCATCTGGGACACCCCAAATGAGGGTGTTGTGTTTGGGTCTGGAGTACAATGAAGTCTTGGCAGGTGCTTGCAAGGAGGGGGCTTGAGATGTGATTTCTTTGTTTTCTCATTTTGGCCACCTCTCTGTGTTTGTTTCTATGTATTAAGTAGATCTGCTATTTCTCCCAGTCTTGGCTGGGTGGCCTTTTGTAGTAGGTGTCCTGTGGGGGCCAGTGGCACAGCCTCACTAGTTACCTGCTCCAGGTGCTTCAGGAGTGTCCTCTGTGTGGGTTGTGTGTGCCATCCTGTTATAGTTGATCCTTGGTTGCTATTTGCACATCAGTGGGTGGGATGGATNCCAGTGGCACAGCCTCACTAGTTACCTCCTCCAGGTGCTTCAGGAGTGTCCTCTGTGTGGGTTGTGTGTGCCATCCTGTTATAGTTGATCCTTGGTTGCTATTTGCACATCAGTGGGTGGGATGGATGCCTAAGCTTACTTGGCTGTGAGGTTTGGCCACGTCTTCAACTTATGGGATGCTGTGTTTGGGGGCTTACCCCACTGTGTGGGATTCACCCCAGTGGGCTCTGGTGCCTTTTGAGACCACCCTTTGTGTATGCTGCTGGTGGAGCTAATTGGGCAGTGTTCTGCTGTGGTCTGAAGTGAACCTCCAAGTATATTGGTTCTGAGGCCTCTGGGGGAGGTGCTCTGGTGCAGGCCCAGGTCACCCACTGCCTGTGACTGTTCAGGATCTACCTGGTAGGAGCTACAAAGTGACCCGTGGTTGTTCATTGCCTATGTTCTAAACCTGGAGGTGTGTGGGAGAGGCCATGGTATGAACCGAGGATGTCTCTTACCAGTACTGGGCCTGAGGTAGCTCTGCAAAAACCCAGGACATCCTGAGGCCTGCTTTCACCTGCCAGCTCCCTTAAGGTTCAGCTGCTGATAGAGCCTGTACAGTATGCAATTTGGGTGAGGCAGGGTTTCAGGGAGTCACTAGAGTGGAAAGAGTTGTGGTCACCAGATTAATGTAAATTCTTGTTTGGTGCCAATGGTGAGCCTGGAGCTACTTACTGTATTTCCCCACGTATAAGACACAACCTTTTCCAAAAAACCTGGGGTCTAAATACTGGGTGCTTCTTATACAGTGGTTATAGATTTTTTACTTGCGTTACTTGCATTGAACTTGAGTTCAATAATTTTATGTAATACATTTTTTTTCAAATTTTCATGCCCAAAAATTAAGGTGTGCCTTATACATGGGAGTGTCTTATACATGGGGAAATATGGCAACAAAAGTCTCAGGGACACTGAGGCCAGCTGCCACCTGCCTCAGCCCTGAGTACTCCAATAGCTTTCCAAGAAAGCATGCAATGCAAGTGGAGCTCCCTGCTTGGGGGAAAAGTGCCTCCGGTGTTGGGGGAGCTGTGTTGGGCAGGGTTCCAATGAGTCAGCAGCTGTAGAGCACTGGAGCCACCAGGCCAATGAGGATCAGATTTGGCCATGGTGGGGGTGGGATCAACACAGGAAATACGGTGTCCTCCTGGGAACTGCATGGGAGGAGGCCCTTACACAGGCAAAATGCCAACAGTCTTCTTGTCTTCCCTCAAAGCCACACATCTCAGTCTGCCTCACCCCCCCCCCCCCCCCCCCCCCCGTAAGTCTCCAAAACCTTCTGAGCCATCATCCCTCTGCTGGAGCACAAGGTGAGTGNAGATGAAGAAACTGTGTCTGAGATGAAGAACTGCCCAAGACTCATGGCCTAAGTAAGTAACAGAGCTGGTAAGAAATCCAGGCTGGCCATGCATTTATCTGTCCTTTTACTTACCCTGTCCAATTCCAGGGCACCAGCATCCCTTGCCAGCCCCTTCCTCCCCTTCCTTGCCCTATGCCCAGAAGGGACCCACAGAGACTTACCACAAGAGCCTAAGTCGGCAGGTAGGCTGCCTGAGCCCTTCATAGAGCAGCCTGAAGCCGAAATCACCCAGGTCATTCTGCTGCAGGTCAAGCTCTGTCAGGCTGGGGCTGGCACTGAGCATGGATGCCAGGTCCTGGCAGCAGCTGGACGTGAGGCCACAGCTGACCAGCCTGCGGGAGAGAAGCACAGAGGCCCACAGTCATTGTCGCGAGGGCCCTTTCTTCAGGGTATCTAGTGTCTGGTTTCCCTTTCTAGTATCTGTGGTCCTTTGGGGGTCTTTGCTGACATTAAAGGAGGTAAAAGACGTGTCTGGCTTGTAGTAACCTGGGAGATTTTAATTATATCCTGCAGCCAAGGAGCCACTCAGGATGTAGGCAGTCTCCCTTTTTCTCTCCTGTTTAATTCTCACAAATCCTGCCCAGTCCTCAACCTTATATGACTAATTTACCCAATGCTCCACTGGTATGCCTGGGTCAAATGTTAACTGCATCATCTCTGCCAAATGCCCAATTAGCTGATATGGGCTGCTTTGGTGGGTTTCAACACTAAGGGCATCTACCTGCACTCCCCCTATCTCATCCAGCCAAACTCTCAACTTCTCTCTGCCCTGTGGTCTTAGGGCAGCTCCCTCGCCCTCTGTGCCCAACCCCCCACCCCAAAGTTGTGTCAATGGGGAGTAATTACAGCAGTCGCCTCAGCTTGCAGCTTGGCTGTCTCAGCTTCGGAAAAATGTGCTCAGCGCCGGCGTCCAGGAGCATGTTGAAGCTCAGGTCCAGGTCGGTCAGGGTGCTGCTGGCACTCACCCCGCAGGCAAGGTCCTTGCAGCCTTCTGCTGTGAGGCTGCAGCTGGCCAACCTGTGGGAGACATGCACCAATGGCCATGAGTTTACTCACCTGTTGATTCCACAAACACCCACAAAAAACCACAAGCACCCGTCGAACACCTCTACTGGGCCAGACAGAGG